ATGTTTTTTTGACTCTCAAAGCCGTGGAGCCCATTGAGTGCCATTATATGACTGACAGACTGCAACGGTTTGAGTAAAAAATCTTCGTTTGTGTTCTACTGAAGAAAGTCACCTACATCTTGGATGCCCTCGGGGTAAGCAGATAAACATCAAATTTTCATTTTTGGGTGAACTATCCCTTTAAGTCCCTGTAGTATGAAGAAATAAGATGGTGGTAAAACTGATCATATTTCTATATAGTAGTATTCCTTATTCATAGATAGAAATCTAATAAATTGGGGGTATAGAAATAGGGCATAGTTTCCTACAAAAAAAAGAGAACTTTCATGAAAAAAAGAATGCATTTAAATATTGTACATTTGTTTACATTTTAATTTACATTTGATTAAAAAGTCTTCGCTTTTTCACACTTTCACATCTCTATCACTTTCCACTATGGTTTGAATATCTACCACATTTTTTCTTTTTCCTGATTTGCGTTGTTTTCTTTCTATTCTCCTTTTCCCCCTTCATTTCTTCACTGCTGATTGTCAGAGAACAGTGGGAAAGGTTTCTTCTGCTATTGGTGTTAAAGCAGCTACTCTGGCCATCTTATACGAGACCGATCACAGACCTAACAACCCCTTCACCCTCTCGCTGGTAAGCAGCTTCTGTCCTGGGACAAGATGATGTTTAGGAGATAAGGTTGTTTCTTGAAACTACAGAATCCTCTGAAGTTTTAAAGGGGTCATATGATGCAATTTCAAATTTTCCTGCATGTTAAACCGCATAAACACATTGCATTACACCAAATACACAACATAATGTTCTTTTTAGCAACGTCATATGACCACTTTAAGAGGAGCCCTGATGTTCTCGTTTATGTGAATCAGAAGTCTTTTTAATTTCCCAACAATGATTTAGTCTGTATTGCAAAGTTACAGCATCAGGATGTAGGCCAATGTCATGAGGTTTTCTTTTATTTCTCAGTTGTTTTCTTTTGTAAACTAGTGTCTTCAAATCTTGTGATCTGTAGAAAGCGGAAAGAAGTGCAAAACTACATGTTCTTTTGCTGACGGCCAAAACTTTGTGACATTTTCTGTAGTTAAGAGAGTCTTTGTCCACAGACAGAGGCCAGAAGAAGTGCAGAATCTGGGGCGGTAATATATATTCTAGTATCTGGCTAATCAAAGCACAAGCTTTTTGCCTTATTTTTCAGGACAATGCTTCATGCTTTGGCTTAAGCATTGATTAATTGGTTTATTGATTTATTGATCGATTAACTAAATATTGTGCCCTTTTCATATTGTGTGATTTCACTGACCTGCGAACTTAAAATTGTGATATTTCACTGTGGTTCCTAGCTGGTTTTGCCCTAATTAATTGCCTTTTTATATTATTAAATTATTTTATTTAATAATTTATTTAATGTTTTTGAATTTATTTATATATTTATTTATCCATGAATAACCTGTGTGTCTGATCTCATTGCAGTGTATTAGAACAATGTTGTAACAGCAAAATTTAGTTTGATCCCTTTTATCCCTTCCCACTATTGAATGGATGATGTTGTGTTTCAGACTAGCATGCGAAAGGAGTTTCCTCTGGGTCTGGGCGGCAGCGACATCTGTCACTTCTGTAAGAAGCGTGTGTACATAATGGAGCGGCTCAGTGCAGAGGGATACTTCTTCCACAGAGAGTGTTTCCGCTGTAACATCTGCGGCTGCACGCTGCGGCTGGGTGGTCATGCCTTCGACTCCAACCAAGGTTTGTTAGTGACATTGTGTTTATAATGCCATTTTTATTCATTAGACTGCTACATGTAGTATGTAGTATTGAACTGAATAAATTATTTACTTGTGTTATTTTCTTGCAGCCACTTTTTACTGCAAGCTGCACTTTTCTCAGAGAAAAATCAGCAGTAGGCATCGAAGAGGAGAGGTAATGTTGATACATTTTATTAAACAGATGTGGTCAACCAATAAATCAGTCAGTTATACAGTTTAGAATTAGTTATACAAAAATATTTGACAGCAGAATGCTGCAATAGACCAATAATGATTTAAATCAGTTATTTAAATCATTTTTATTTACATCTGATGCACTATTTATTTGAAATGTATTTGTAATTTAATAACAATGCATACAAATTGTAGACGGGGCAAAACAAAGCAAACTGAAAACAAAGTCCAAACGTGACAATTATTAGTTATAGGTGTTGTTGTTGTGTTTTTAATTATAGTTATTATTAATAATCAAGATAATGTAGATTTTGATGATAATAATGATAATAACTTTTCAGAATAATTTTTATTATTCCATCATGTATTATTATTATTATTATTTATACCTATAACTAATAATAGTTATAACATTAATAATAATAGTAATAATCTAGATCTGTTCATTATTCTTATTCTTAGTCATGTTTTCTTCATTTATTATTCATTTATAATTATTAGTTATTAGTAATATTCTTTTTTTTATTATTACTATAACTAATAATAGTAATAACAATAATAATAGTAATCATTATTATTATACACTTAATTATAAAAGCAATTTTTATTATTTATAATAGTATATAATTATTAGTTATTAGAAATATAACTAATTATTAGTTATTAGAAATATAATTATTAGTTATCGGTGGTGGTGTTGTGTTTTAATTATTATAATTATTATTAATAATCAAGATAATGTAGATTTTGTTAATAACTTTTCAGAATCATTTTTATTATTCAGTCATGTATTATTATTAATAATAGTAATACCTATAACTAATAATAGTAATAACATTAATAATAGTAATAATCTAGATTGGTTTATTATTATTATTATTATTATTATTATTAGTCATTTTCTTTTTATTATTTATTTATAATTATTAGTTATTAGTAATAGTTGTTGTTGTTGTTGTTATTTATTATTATCATCACTAATCTATACATTATGTTTGTCTGGTGCAGTCTACTTGCCGTATCCTATGCACATTTGAAATGTACATTAGAAGTAACTCTTTTAGTGTAGCGTAAATGTTACCATCCTCTTCTGTTTTATTTACATCATTATTACAGATCAACGGAGTTGGCAGACCCTCGTCCAGCGCTAGTTCTGATTACACGGCCACCGACGGCCTCCGCGGCCTGTCCTCAGGTACCCTGACTTCCCTTATTAGGAAACGTCTGCACTGGCCACTGCACGTGGGCCGCACACTGTTCGGTACGCCCCGCCAGCTTGCCCGCTGGATGTATAAGGCAGCTCGGGCCGTAGGGCTACACCTCAGAGAGCGCCAGGAGGACTATGTATTCCTTTATGAGCTACTGAGTCTGGGTGTGCCCTTCATATACGTGCTGCATGAGATGACAGGCCAGATGAGCCGAGAGGCCATCGCTCCCTCCCCAGTGAGCATGATGGAGTCAGTCGAGCCGTACCGGGGGCTCCAGCTGCCTTAAAGGGTCCTCGGTACCGCTGGACTGACGAGGGAAGGGGCTTCTTAAACTCTGTAGACTGGGCCAGTCCCTTACACTGAAATCCTTAGTTTATTGCTTATAATATTAGTTATCTCTCGGTACCTTTGACAGGGTTACGTAATTTGAGTGAGATGCTGAATTTTAATCTTCTTAAAGGGACAGTACACCCCAAAAAGACAATTGTCTTTTTTTTTTTTTCTCACCCTCATGTCATTCCAAACCTGTATGACTGACTTTCTTCAACGAAACACAAAAGAAGATATTTTAATTAAAGAAAAGTGTGTACATACAATGAAAGTCAATGGGGTCCAATGTTATTTTTTGGACCCCATTAACTTTCATTGTATTACAAAAACATCATCAACATTCATCAAAGTATGTTATTTTGTGTTCTGCAAATGAAAGTATGTCAGACAGGTTTGGAATGACATGAGAGCGAGTAAATGATGAAAGAATTGTCATTTTGGGTGAACTGTCCCTTTAAGAACAACTATGGCCCTACAGGGTTTAAGAAACCTTCAGTGTTCGTAAATATTTATTTGATTGAAAATGTAAGATCCAAAGCTGATAAACTAAGAGCACTTTACTGAGAAGGATTGTGCCGCTTTATCCTAACTGCCTGAAACTGCCAGTTAACGTGACTGCGACGTTAAGGTTTGCATCTCCCCTTATTCAATGTGCAATGGAAATGCCAAACAGTATTAAAATGCATTTTGACGACTTTGTTAATGAGGAAATATGATACGCTTTATCTCTTTTGTTGTTGTTGTTAAAATGTTCACTTTTTCTTAGTTTACGGCCTTTTGGGGAATCTAGATGTAGCTTATAACCAAAATTGTGTCCTTATTCAATGTGCAATGGAAATGCCAAACAGTATTAAAATGCATTTTGACGACTTTGTTAATGAGGAAATATGATACGCTTTATCTCTTTTGTTGTTGTTGTTAAAATGTTCACTTTTTCTTAGTTTACGGCCTTTTGGGAAATCTAGATGTAGCTTATAACCAAAATTGTGTTTTTTTTTTTCTTTGTGATGTAATGCAAATAGTCTTTGTTGGACAAATGCATCATATTCTGCATTGATTTCTAATGTAAAAGTGGAGGAAATGTCCCTTGGTATCACCGTGAATAGGGTACTGTACCTCCAATTGTTTAATCAATCAGTATTCAAACATTCCACTAAATGTGTGGTGTAAAGCTTTAAAAGTGTATTTTTGTTTTTCTTGCACTGTTTTGTCAGTGTTTAAGTGTACTGAACATGCATAATTATAGTTCTGGAAAATTCACCCTTGATTTTAGTGCTATTTCTCTCTCAATTTCCTTCTTTCTCTTCATATTGCATCCTTTTCTACATCATACATAGTCTGTTTCAAGTTTCCAATGCTCCAACCTCTGATTGGCTGAACCGTGAGAGCAGGAACGCGATTGGCCTGCATGGGTCAGGTGATCAGGTTGTTTCGCTTTGCACTGGCTTCCTTAACTATAATATTAACCCCACTATTGTGAATGCAGCATGGGTCTAATGTATGAACATTTCTTATTAGATATCCCAAACATCGCTGTCCTTCACCGGAAGTCAGCATTGTGTTTGTTTGTACCAGAGATAACGTACTAACAGAAGTGCCCTTGTACACTTGACTATCCCAGCATGCTTTTTTAAATGCACCCGTTTTTCTAGTACACAGCGTCCTGTAAAGTAACCTCCCTTCTTGTTTCTCTCCGTGTTTGTCCTCTCTGTTGCAGAGGCTGCTTTACTATCCCAATCCCATGTAAGAGCACTCTCTTGTTCCTTTTTCCTAAAAACAAACTGAGGTCATCCTATAAGAAGACTTAGTTTTGCACAATTTTTCAAGTCCTTTAAGGATTGTTTTTTGTACATTTTAGCTTACTATTTCTTTGTATATTTCACAATAAAAGACTGTTTCTCCTAATTTATAATATATTTAAAGCCTGTACGCATAAAATAAATTCATTTTTAATTCTAAAAGTTTGTTTCTGCCTTTTTGTCTGCCGATTCAGTGAGCTTCCTGTGTAACCCTCAGCAAAGATGTATTTGTATTCATCAATGCAACTGCCAAGCTAATAAGAAGAAATGTAACCCAACTATCACAATTAAGTATAGGCCTAAAAAATAACCCTGTACCAGATGTATCACACCCACGATTCCCAAACATAATCCTCCCCCTTTTTTGTTTTTTCACTTTTCACACTTTTTAACTTCACATCCCATTTTTTAAAAGCATTGGAACTGCAACCAAGCCATTTTAATCAATAGTTTTAGAACATACATCAGACCCATTTTACATTATGTCTGAATTCCTTTATAGTCAAACTTAACTTGGTTATTTTGGGTCTTTTCTATCCTGTCCTTTTATCTGCTTTTTGTAGGTGATTGCACTGCCTTCTATTCTGAACTCAAATGATACAGAATAATCATTTCAATTATACATTATAAATTATATACATATACACAGCGGGTAAAATAAGTATTGAACTTAATTAAGTTCTGTGTAATAAAATGGAATGACCCAGGGAAAAAGTATTGAACACGCTTACTGAAATGTATTTAATACTTCGTATAAAAGCCTTTGTTGTTAATGACAGCTTCAAGACGCCTCCTGTATGGAGAAACTAGTCGCATGCATTGCTCAGGTGTGATTTTGGCTCATTCTTCCACACAAACAATCTTCAAATCTTGAAGGTTCTGTGGGCCTCTTCTATGAACTCTTGATCTTCAGTTATTTCCATAGATTTTCTATTGGATTCAAGTCAGGTGATTGGCTGGGTCATTCTAGCAGCTTTATTTTCTTTCTCTGAAACCAATTGAGAGTTTCCTCGGCTGTGTGTTTGGGATAATTGTCTGGCTGAAATTTTCCACCCTTGTTTCATCTTCATCATCCTGGTAGATGGCAGCAGATTTTTATCAAGAATGTCTCTGTACATTTTTCCATTCATCCTTCCTTCAATTATATGAATTTT